GTACTTCCGAAACCGAAACACTTAATATAGCCCAGTAAATAAAGGCCTAAAATTACCATTTGTCGCAACTAATTACTTAGTGGAAAGCTGGATTTTTTATATGTGATACTACCTTAAGAGACAAGTATTTTCCCAAAAGTCCCCGCCTCTCCCCTTTGAGCTTTCCCCCCCAGCTCCCTCAAAGGTAGAAAAAACAGACTTTTCATATATTGACTGTAGAATGCTTAGTATTGATAACAGAGTGATAACTTTTTTGCTTTGTCAGCTCAGTCAGATCCAACTTCGACCTAGTAAAACTACCTCCAACCTCGAGTGCAGCTCATCAACATTTGTTGAGAGTTTATCTTCAAAGTCAATTTTGGATAGAAAATAAACTTAATCCAACGGAATGGGGTTGGAAGTACGCTACTGTGAGAGAAAATGGAATGACAAAAAAGGCTTTAAGTCCTGATCCGAACACAGAGCCATTTGCCCCTAATAACTTACTGTATCTAATCTCATGCTCTTGCAAAAAAACATGCGGAGATTACTGCAAATGCAGAAATCGGGAGTTAACTGTTCTGCAATGTGCGACAATTGCAACGGACTGTCGTGTTTTAACTCTCCAAACCTCGATGAAGATGCAGACGACTTAGCTACCTTGTAAAAGGTAAAGGTGTCCTTGGTGAGCAATCAAATATTTGTAAATATTGTAAGTAAATAGAAGAATATGTACCTAACTATAATCTTTCTGTAAATAAAACTGTACAAATGTTCATTTGAGTGTGGTGGGTGGGTGGTCCGTGATGCGAATCAGACAAATAAATAAAAAAAAAACAATCCAAGTGAGAGGGTGGCTTTAAGATGTAATATAATGTAGGAGCTTAAGTGGATTTTTGAAATCATGACGTGCGGCGGGAGCGTTCGAGCTGCACGCACGCGCTCTCTTAAGCGGTGCTCTGTTGTACGCCAGTACAATCATAAGACTGGTGTACTATATATTTTTAAAGCTTAAAAGGTGTGCTACATGTGTTATATATTACATTTTTACTTAATCTTACAATTACAAATTTGCAGAACAAAAACAAAAGTATTTTACTAAAAATTTCAGTTTTTTTCACTTTTTAGTGGTATATCTGAAAAACCAAAGGTTTCATAAAAATGTTTTTAAAACAAATACTGTAGAGCATCTATTTATGAACAATTTAAGAAAAAATTATCACTCTGGCATAAATAATAAGCATTCTACAATCAATATATGAAAACTCTGTTTTTTCTACCTTTGAGGGGGGCTGGGGAGGAAAGCTCAAAGGGGAGAGGCGGGGACTTTTGGGGAAATACATGTCTCATAAGGTGTATCACATATAAAAAATCCACCTTTCCACTAATTAGTTGCGACAAAAAAGTTTTATTGACTGGGCTAATATGTATGGAGTTAGAGAACGGGTTCTTTAAAAACATTGCTGCTTAACAAGTTACCATAGGAACGTTGCGTTGGTATGACAATCCCTATGCTATGGTAACAAAAATAATTTGGAAACTGTCATTGCTAGTGTCATAATTTTAGTGGTGGGTGACAAAGGTGTATTTGATATTGAAAAAGCAGCCAAACTAGGTATAGAATTGATACCACTGAAATCCAAAAAACTATATGAGCAGCAGTACGATGCGTTTAAGAAGTAGTGCCGCATACAAAATGTGGAAGAACCTACTGAAATTGCCTTGTTAGTAATTTCATCCTTCCGGGATTTTCGTCTAAATTTAATCCCGGCGGGACAAAAAGTGACACTTCAGTACTTGTCATAAAGGAGTGAAGTTCTTACTTTAGTCCCGGAAGTACGAAAAAGATCTTATTGTTACCTTTTACTAAATGTCGACGTGTGTTGACTTCAAATTGTTCTGCATACTAAATATTTGCTTTGTTCTGAACTGATTCGTAATTTTCATTTTAATTCATTCAATCAGTCTCTGTGTAGTTCGAAGATTGTGTCATTTCGCCTTTGTGTGTTTTGTTTATTCGACATATCAATAAGATAAGTAGTTTAGTTTAGGTTTATTTATCCCCATACCGATTACAAAGTAATATTGGGTTGTCACAGCATATGATAAGATAAGGTATAAAATTACAAACAGGCAATATAAATTGAACTAACAACATAAATTACAATAATTCGCCGTCGCGCAGGCCTTGGAGGTATTCGTTCACCCGGTGGTATGGATTATTAACGAAGAATGTTCTAGCTTGAGTATTAAATTTATTTGCTGATGTAAGTGTTCGCAGTTCTTGTGGGAGATGGTAGAATAGCTTGATCGCCATATACCTGGGAGAATCCTCAAATAGTGCAGTGCTATACCTGATGGCTTAGAATCTTATGTATTTTCTTTTTCTAGCATATAGATTATTCCCAGAAATTGATGGAAGAGAGATAGAATTTGGAGACGTCGAATGAGCACCAATTCGTCCAGATTTTCTAGAAACATTTTTTTGGAAATTTCCTCCGTTGGGAGGACCATAACTACTACCATAAGTAGTCGAAGTATTGTCGAATATTTTTGAGGTGCTGTCACGAATGCTAGTTACGCTGATAAAAGCGTAACTAGCATGAGTGGAGCAGCAGCTCAAAAATAATCTACAAATACTTCGACTACGAATGGTATTCGGAGGACTATTCAATGAATCAAAAGAAAAATTAAGCATAATTACCCACGCGAATGTATTTCCATGACAACAATAAACGTCAAAATAAATTATGGAAGTTGCTTTTCATTTTGCTATTGATTCTATTCGAACTTTTGTGCTCCAAGCTAATTCGTTATGAGTGATTAAATTAAAAGATGTGGTGATGATAAGTCGGTTGTCGAAATTGATTAACAAACTAAGAAGAATGTTCCGGTTAATACGACAAAATTTCGCGTCATTTCACTGGTGGAAGTTTGACAAATGTCATTGAATAATCGCATGAATTGTCGCTGAAATACCACACGTGAAATTATCGCTATGCCACACGTGCAATTATCACTATAATTCGTTCCCATTGGCGCAGCAATTTGAAATCGAGACATTTCACTGGTTGAAATGTGACAAATGTTAGATGAATTGAATAGTCTATTCTATACCTGGCCAAAAATCTCCTAAATTAAAACACAAATTTGTTACTAAAGGAATGTGATAATCGAACAAAACATTTGTGCAAAAAAAACTCTAGTAAATTGTAACAACTGAAAGATAGTGAAATTGTACAAAGAAGTGGTACAATAGTTGACATCATTCTTTTGTTGAGCACGAACGAAGTCCTTGTAAAATTAACAATTTGAAATACTGGGGTAGCAATTGCAGGTTGTTAAAATGACTACAAAATAAATTTGCTGCTACACAAACTAATTGACAAGTTAACAAAACGATTATGGCTTATTTAACAATATAAGTTACAGAAACACCAATATTATAGTACAATTTGACGTCAAAGCAAATGTAAATTCTACTGCAAATACGAGTGAACCTCCTGGGACTATAAATTTTAGTTCCTCCAACAACTAGTTTTTTACGGTGTAAAGTCACTGTACACTTGTCGCAAGATCGCCTTGCTCTTTGATGGCACTGAACACACCTAAGTTGTTTGTCAAGCTTGCTCAGAAAATATCCTCCTTCATGTTTTACGACACTCGGCGGAACAGAACCAGATGGTCTTTTTTTGCCACGTCATTGAAACTTGATTTGTCGTGGCAATATAGGTAAGTGCCTGCAATTTGACGCAAAAAGTCCAGTAACTCAAATTTGAAGTCAACAGATGAATTCGCCTAGCATTCACAACTGACACTAAAGAGAACCCACCACCATTTTTTTTACCTTTGATGCTAACACGATAATTATTGATGTGTTGAACAAGCATGTCTACGCCTCCCATAAATCACAATAAGATTATATACTTCTGTGCTTTAAAATTTTTCAAAAATTTCAACAGCGGTGGAGCCACCTACATCATTTTTGAGGAGTTCTAGGCGATTGCTGAATCCATTTGAAGAAAGCATAAAAATATTAGTAAACTCTTTTTTTTCGGATTAGCCCATTGTACTCATATGGGTACAGTAAGAAACTTTGATATTGCAGTTATTTAGAAATAGTAATCAAATAACAAAATAAATAACTATAATCGTAATCAACACCATACAATATGACTAATTCCTTATTTTATGAAAGATAACACTAAAACAAACTATTAACTTACGGTAAGCTGGATGTTATCAATTCAAAATTGCAGACCTTTCACATTCACTACACCGCACTGATATATTTTTTTTCGTGCACGTGATGCCCTTTTTTATAATGCGGTTGAGTTCGATTCGATCTTTTGAACCTAAATCGCTGTAAAGTCTTAATATAGTACATAATTGACAACAATTACTTCTAAGCCCCTTATGGCTTTAGACCAAAAGATAACGATAGATTTTGTGCGGTGACAAGAGTTTATTACAAATTTTCGCACAAAATCTGTCGTTATCTCTCAGTCTACTCGTCTGATTTTTGCGAAGACAAGACGTATCGCCATCACCAATAAATTTTTTGTAGCTTACATTGTACATTTTAATACGATTCACGAAAACGTCGATTATAATATTTGCTTCCATTGCGCTCGGCGACGCTGTCCAAACGAACATGTTCAGTGAGGTACAGTTTCGTTTTAATTTACAGATCGGGCACATATGCTACAATATTTATTCCCGACGCCCAAGAATAGTAGTGTGACGGTTCATAAATTCGCGCCACAAGAATGTGCGCCAACGACACCAGTGACGCCACCTAGTGGTGGACAACGCAGAAAGCAAATCTTCCAACCACGGGTAGATTTCTAATTACCAACTGAAAAATGAACGCGATATATATATATATATATATATATATATATATATATATATATATATATACTTAAAAACTATACTTTGTTCCCTCCGAAATATAAACATATTAAGCGTAGTTCCCTCTTATATACCCGACTTCCCTCCGAATCCGGAGGGAACAAGGTTTTCCCATTGTGATCTTGTTTTGGGCTACTAGAGGGTGATACCTATCGCATACTGAAAATTTATGTGGAGGTCACTTTGACCATATATAATCATATTTTTCATCACTTTGTTCACGCTCTCGCCGTTGGCGCTAGTAGCGCTATTCAAGTAGGCATTCATCGCACATACTTCCCTCCGTGCTATATATTGTTAATTACAAGTGTTTGTTCCCTCATAGACTTGACGACACCGCATTCATTTAGTTTTGGAGTGTGCTCGCAGTGCATGTGTTGTTATTTTTGTAATTTTTCTTTTTTTTGTTTCTCTGGAGTTTACAATGAGCCGAAGAGCGTTGTTGATGTTAAAGATGGCCCAAGACACTCGTAAGTTAATTGAAATATTTAAACTACGAATATTTTAAAATATCACGTTTCATTTACGTTGTTGATGACGTAGTATTTATTTCCCGCGTTTATAATTGTTCAAAAATCTTTTGAGTGGGAATCCAGTTAATTTTATTTGATATTTCCAAACTATTTGTTAATTCTTTTAGCTGACTTAAACAACGCGAAGTTAACTAATGAATGCGTTTTTGGCGACAAGAGGAGTTCAGACCAAGAGAATCAATTATGTGATCGAAATGCTCTAATTCAACAGGACCCCAAAGAATATACACAATCCTTAATCGAAGTGAATTGCCAAAATGATGGTTTACCACCACCAAGTTTATGTGCAAATTGCCCAGGCGACTCTAGCTGTACTTGTAGTATTATTTCCAATACTACCGGTTCTAGCCAGTCTATTTGTACAGAGGTATCTAGATTTACATAGAAAAAATTACTGTTAATGTTTTTATCTACAACTGTTTCTTTGCGGTTCTCAACGGGTTAAATGTTTAATTTGAAGCAGTTGTAAATAAAATTTTGTGTTTTGTGGGTTACGTTGTTAAGATGAACTATTATATTGAGACCCTTAAAACATTTAATTAACATTGGCATGTCAAGGCTCGAAAGGACTAAATTATAGAAAAGTTATAGTTTTATCAATTACTGATGGTAGAGTCAAATCTTCAAACGCGAATTGCGGGTAAAAGGGGCGTCGGAAGTGGGTACTGACAAAGAGAATGTGGTAGCTCTCGACACGATCTTACTGATGGTAGAGTCAAATCTTTAAACGCGAATTGCGCGTGAACGGGGCGTCGGAAATGGGTACCGACAAAGAGAATGTGGTAGTTTTCCACACGATCTTACTGATGCCGGAGTCAAATCTTCAAACGCGAATTGCATGTGAACGGGGCGTCGGAAGTGGATACTGACAAAGAGAATGTGGTAGCTCTCGACATAATCTTACTGATGGTGGAGTCAAATCTTCAAACGCGAATTGCGCGTGAACGGGGCGTCGGAAATGGGTACCGACAAAGAGAATGTTGAAACTCTCGACACGGTCTTACTGATGGCGGAGTCGAATCTTCAAACGCGAATTGCTTGTGAACGGGTCGTCGGTAGTGGGTACTGGCAAAGAGAATATGGTAGTTGTCCACACGATCTTACTGGTGGCGGAGTCAAATCTTCAAACGCGAATTGCGGGTGAACGGGGCGTCGGAAGTGGGTACTGACAAAGTTTCCACACGATCTTACTGATGCCGGAGTCAAATCTTCAAACGCGAATTGCATGTGAACGGGGCGTCGGAAGTGGATACTGACAAAGAAAATGTGGTAGCTCTCGACATAATCTTACTGATGGTGGAGTCAAATCTTTAAACGAGAATTGCGCGTGAACGGGGCGTCGGAAATGGGTACTGACAAAGAGAATGTTGAAACTCTCGACACGGTCTTACTGATGGCGGAGTCGAATCTTCAAACGCGAATTGCTTGTGAACGGGTCGTCGGTAGTGGGTACTGGCAAAGAGAATATGGTAGTTGTCCACACGATCTTACTGGTGGCGGAGTCAAATCTTCAAACCGCGAATTGCGGGTGAACGGGGCGTCGGAAGTGGGTACTGACAAAGAGAATGTGGTAGTTTTCCACACGATCTTACTGATGCCGGAGTCAAATCTTCAAACGCGAATTGCATGTGAACGGGGCGTCGGAAGTGGATACTGACAAAGAGAATGTGGTAGCTCTCGACATAATCTTACTGATGGTGGAGTCAAATCTTCAAACGCGAGTTGCGAGTGAAGTGGAAGTGGGTACCGACAATGGCAAACTGGAGGTTCTCGATGAGATCTTTCAGGTGGCGGAGTCAGAACTTTAAATGCGAAAACGTAATATCCTAAACACCAAATATTAAATTATCTGTTTTGGCACGAATCCCCCGTTTCGGCGGGTGATACCAAAACGGAGTTGGGGGGAAACGCTGTGATAAGAAAGGAAGATCCTAAATATGAATATAACTCTAATGTGTTTATTCGTTTAAGGGGTTTTACCGTACTTGGCCGCATAAAGGTGAATAGAGGGCTTGACATGTCTTTGAAGGTTAGAATTCCGTACTAAAAATTAAAAACGTACTCAAACGTATTACCATTGAAGAATCGCTTATTAGAATACAGAATAAAAAGGAATTCGCAGTAAATGTTTTAAGTGGATATTCGACTTAATACGATTTTACTAATTTTAGGCATTTATAAATTTTAGGAACATTATAGAAACTTATTTCCCACAATTACAAACGACGTATCTCCCATCATTTCAAATAAAAATAGTACATATTTGACGGTAGTGCCCATTGGAAATACTACCGACCCATACTATTTTGATGAGGGAACATCTAGCAATTTGGATGTGATTCAAACTTTGGGGAGTAACAGTGACTTTAGTGACGATAGCAGAGATAAGGATTTTGCTATTGAAGCTGAGGGAAGCGATTCTTCTGACACTAGTACAATAGGTTCTTCGGATAATGACAGTTTAAACGGCGAGACTGTTCAAAAACAAATTTTGACCGAAACTGTGGCAAATTTTGAGAATGTAAGACCTCTCTCGGATAAATTAAGACAACAGGTGAGCTGACCATATTCATACGTCAATAATTTTAAAAATGTAAAAACAAATGAAAACATGTGTATACAGTGTGTTTCAAATTAAGCTGCTAACTATTGTAGAGAATTTGATCATATGGCATGTTTTCATATCGCGTTAATTACCGTAACTTATATGTTGGTTGCAGACAATTGTAGCCATTTGCATGAAGACAATTGTAGTCATTTGCATGAAAGATGAACCTAACTATAACATTTTGTGGATGGTTTTAAATGACTAGGTACCATCTTTCTTATTTGCGTATTTAGATATAGTAGGAACTAAAGAACTCTGAAAATTACTTCAAAAGCTGATGATATAGGTCTCATCTTTGGCGCTAATGGCATTATTTGTCGAACTCTCTTTCTTTACATTTATGAGTACTTACCTCACTGATAATTTTTTAGAAGAAGAACGATTATAGGAATAAGCCCGTTTCGTGTAAATTTTGCGATGAAGATGTGACCTCAAGAAATTTTGTAAGACATTTAACTAGAAAACATAACCATGAAACGGAAGTACAGAATATTTTGAAATTTCCAGCCAAATGCAAAGAACGAAAACATGCATTAAGTTTGCTTCGCAACGAGTCTAATTTCAATCTATATTTGAAGGGGACTATTCGCCCAAAGAAACAAACAGCTGAGAAAGAAAATATAGAATACTATCCGTGTGTGTTCTGTAAAGCTGTATATACAAAAAAATTTTTAATGCGACATGTCAAATCTTGTGCTCACAAGAAGGTGTCAACTAATAACATAAACTATAAATCCAGTTATGTCTCGCAATCACAGACGGTCGTGGCATGCGCTCTCGACCCCACTGATGCCATTTCCAAATTAGAAGTAAAAGAAAAGGTAAGATGTACTTACTTAGGAGTCCGTTCTATAGATCAGAAAGTCACCTCAATAACTCTTTTATTGGATAGATAAAAGGAAACATTGAGGTGACCGTCTCATCTAAACGCACTGTATGCGGAAGATACCTACATTTTATGATATGCTATAAGGTTAGATGGTCTGTAAATGATACATATTTATAGATTGGCACCGACATAAAAAAAAATTGGTAGTTGTTTATGCAACAACAAAAAATCCGTATATCTTAGTCTACAATAGTTATTGAACGTCACGTTGCCAAAAGTTGATGTTTGCAATATTATCGAACGTGACGTTTAATACAACATTATTTTTAACTAAGTAAGACAAGCGGCTTTTGGTCACATAGGGGATTTACAATAATGCAACCGTTTTAACCAAATTGGTAACAATCACGGATCACCATAGAAACAATCGTCGAAATTTATTGTAACCATAGGAAAATCTACCAACTCGGTTAAACCGGTTGAATTACTATAAAGCCTGTACACAACTTTAACTAATTACTTTTGTCGGTCTTATTGGGCATGACTTGTGCCCAAACTAATCACTTTAAGTAATTTTCTGCATTCTACCAGTTGAACCAAATAGCATGGGGAATCATCAGGATACAATATTGCGCACAATTCTCAATGGCAATAGATCTTCTCCTAACACCATGATATCTATTGATGTGTTAGAAAGTCGATGTTGAATAAATGTTTAGACGGAATTTATTTTTAGGTTTTCAACATGATGAGGGGCGATCAAATATCCTTTGTGGCGAAAAAAGACCTTTTAATAGTGCACTACGGTGAATCGTATTTAAAGTCTCAAAAAAGAGAAAGGAAGGAATATAGTTGCAGTAGTAAGATTAGAGAATTAGCGCGATTGTTAATCGCATATAGAACGATAGTTAATGATGATAGTGTCTCTTTTAAGGATTTACTTCACCCAGAAAAGTTTGACAACGTAGTATTGGCCACCAGAAACATTTCTGGTTTTGATCCAATTAAAAAATCCTTTCAATCACCCAGCATAGCAATGCACATGGGCACATCATTAAAAACTGTATCTGATGAACTAATTCATTTAGTATTAAAAGGTAGCAAAGGTTTTAAATGCAGTTCGCCGGATGAATCCCGATCTTGGCGGCAAGATATAAAGAATTTTAAAAAACTGGTCGAGTCTAGATGGAACACAGAAATATCATCAGTAGCTAACAAAGATTTGAACGAAAAACGATGGCAGAAACCACTATTAGTGCCGTTTATTAATGACGTGAAAATATTTAGAGAGGAAACATTAAAATTTGCCAAGGAATGTGAACAACTATTTCTAAAAGGAACCGACACAGACGTGACATACAAAATGTTAGTTCAATGCACATTGGCGCTGCTGATTCTCTTCAACAGACGTAGGATTGGGGACGTACAGTACTTGAAAGTCAATGACTATAATTCGGAGACAAAAACCAATTTTCAAGATTTCGAGAGTGCTTTATCCGAACCCGAAAAGGTGCTAACGCGGCAGTATAAACGGGTGGTCAATGGCGGTAAGGGTTCACGCGCTGTAGTGATATTAGTCCCGCAACTATTACAACATTTCATAAGCATACTACTTGAAAACAGACATAAATACATTCCTGTGGACAATCAATATATGTTCGCAATACCACACAGCAAACTCAAGTGGGCACAGGGCGACGTTGCGATTCGACACTTGACCACCAAAATGAAGTTGCAAAATGCAGCAGCTATTTCTAGCAATAAATTACGTAAACACATAGCAACTGCTATGCAGGTACTAACCATGTCCAAAAATGACTGTAAGCAGTTTTCCAAATTCATGGGGCACACGGAAAAAACCCATGAGGAATTCTATGAGTAAGTAACAATTTCTTTTGGTCGAATTGTTACTACGCGCCAATGTGTAGTTAGCTAAAAACGTCGGTAGCAATAACAAAAAATATTTGATTTTACAGTGTGGAAAGTTGGTTTTGTAGAGAAACATTATGGGAATTCAATAAATAAATTACAGGCTAAATGGATTTTTTATTTTTTATTTTTTTTAGGCGATCGATTTCGGAAAATGCATTTCCATCTTCAGGCTTTAGCTTCAAGTTTTAAACATTTTGGAAATGCATTTTCCGAAATTGAACGCTTAAAAGAAAAATAAAAAAAAACCAATTCAGCCGGGAATTTAATTATTGACTAATCCTATACCGATACTGATACAAATATAAGGCTCAAAATATGAAGAGCTCCATAACTTTTATTATAGAAATGTCTCAGTTAAAACCTATTTTTTGTGATTCCTGATCTCCGTTTTAACTCCAAAATAATAAGGGCACCAGTAGAAAGATAACTAAATTGGGCCTTATACACTGTGTCCAAGATAAGGATGTCTATCATGGGGAAACCTGAAATTTGTCGATTTTGTTTTTATTTTTTTTCTAAATAATAAATTTAAAAAAAATTTCATTTCCATTCTTTGAGCTCTACAAATCAGCGTTTGAGAAATGTTTAATACAATTGTAGCAAAAAAATCATCAACATTGTTTTTTTAATATGGCTCGCAAAAAAGTACGTATTGTTGTATTCGTTATAAAAAATACTACTCAATACAGTAAGTATTTTTTGCGCGTCTTATAAATAAAGATGATGATGATTTCTCCGAAACGAAACATTGTATTGAAAATCTCTCATAGGCTGTAGAACTCAAAGAGTGTTTTTTATCTTTTCTTTATCTGTTCAAAAAACAAAACAAAAATAAAAACCAAATCGGCAAATTCGAGTTGTTTTAGCATAATAACAACTCTTTAATTGCGCAACTTTTCTCTTATTAGACATCGTCGTATCGTCTATGGTTTCCGAGATCTCCGTGATTGACAAACATCCTTACCTTGGACACTTGTGTATAAGATAAAACTTCTTTGTCTTCTTCTCACGTTGTACTGCTTACAGTAAAGCACCCAAAATAGAAAGAGAAAATTATTTTCTCTAAATGACGTTCCAAGCTGATACGTTTACACCCGTCACATTTTGTCTTAATAGATGCACGGCAACTAACAAATTAATTAAATAAAATACGTCATTTACGACAAACATATTTAAAACATTATCATTAAATTTGCAATGTTAAAGAGGACAAAGAAAAACATCATCTGAACCACACACAACTAAATTGCCGTATAATGATTCCATTATATCCTCTGTGAGTTAAACTAGGGTATTACAAAAAAGCTATTTTGGCCATATCCGATTGAGAACTTTCCCAAGCAAATTCGTTGTTTAAATTAAGGGACACACGCGGTACTGGTTGAATTTTAAAGAGTTATTGCTTCTGGCTTTAGTGATTCGTCCTTTCTGACTGTTCCTGTTTTTATACAATTTGTCAATTGCATTAATTCAGGTTACCAATTGACATATATCAGACAGCCAAGGTTGTGAAGGTATTATTAATGATGGAGAAAGGGGTTCCGTCGGAGTATAAAGGAAAATCGTTGTCAGATATCGAAATTGCCGATAATGAGTACATTGAAGATAATTTCAATGACCCAGGTATACAAAACATACCTAATTAAAATAATTGTTATGTTATATCATCTTTCTAGATCAGCCACTAACACCTACAAGTGAAAATGCAACTGCTGTGGAGCGCGTTGAGGATGTAAATGCAACTGCTGTAGAGCGCGTTGAGGATGTAAATGCAATTGTACCAGAAGATGACAACAGAAATGGTATTAAATCGGTTTACTTCATTTAACGTTTTTAAAATTAAAATGAAAGTTTCAGCATTGACCAAAAATAACCACACCTCCTTACACAAGAAAAATAATCTTCTCAATAAAAGACAAGGTGAGCATGATGTCCAAGTACGAAATAAAGTGTTCTCTACAGTCTACCCACCAAAATTACTTCAATCACAGTTAATCTCATTAAGACCAAACACATTACAATGAACGGTCTATAACAGCCCAATGTTAATTTGAGGCATCCCTTGAACGTTCAAATAAAGTGCAATACAAGTTAAATCAACTTTAATTTGGCACAACCTTGAACTTCCAAAGAAACGCTCATATTGAACTGAAATAACTGTAGCCGTCGACCTTTTTATGCAGGTTCTTGTAAACCTATAAAAATTAAAACTAATTTATCTGCCAAACAAACCATTTAATATAGCTTTTCAACAACAAAAATGGATTAAAAAATGTATAATATACATTCATACATTACACTTCTTTTTATTTTCATCTTCGTTCCACTTACACACCATACAGCATTCAAAAATAAATCCATGTCCCGTTTGTGCTTACTTCAGCTACAGATGAAATTTTTGAAATCTAAAACAAAAAAAAGTTGATTATCATACACAAGTATTACAAACAATTATGTCAAAATTAGTAAAAGACAATACTTTGAAATAATTTTAAAACTAAACCTACCTTTTAGTGTAATTTTTGATTAGATGCAGTACCTTTTTTTTAGGTTGGAGAACAGAAGAAATCGATTTACTGAAGACTCATTTTAGAGACTTTATAAATAAAAGTACTTATCCATCTGGGTCCCAAATAAATGACTTTATTAAAGCTACCAATTCGACAAGAAGTGTTTTGGTGATAAGGTCAAAGATACAACACATCCTGAAACAAAAAAACTAAATTCTACAGATTTTTAATCCTACCTACCTAAATAATTTTTGGTTACATTTTATTTGTTTGTAGTATACATACTTTTATTTAAATGTATCTTACACTGTATTACATACTTTACTCACAATATATATATTTCAAAACTTCTAAATTGAATATCAGTAACACTTACAGAGAAACAAGTAGACGCGCCGCGCGTTTACGCTAATTCGTATGTTCTTCCCTCCGAATAACTTGCAACACTGTTGGAGGGCAGTGAGTTGGAATATTTGCAACATTACGGAGGTAAGAAGGTGTTGATTTTTTCGGTATGTATATATGTATATATATGGATTTTTTTTCTCTAAATGTGTACCCCTCTCTTGAGAAATTGGTTCACTATTATCCCCTCCACCTAAATATATAAAAAGTAGGTGGTTCATGCAGTGGGGTACCCCGGAGGTCGGTCCGCCATAAGTTTTACATGGAGGGAAGTAAGTATTGCTGATACGTATATATATATATATATATATATATATATATATATATATATATATATATATATATTATATATATACATATATCATGTACACACGGCTGTCATTTAAATTTACTGGCCCATTTTGAAGAAAACTTAAATTATGAAAATATGACTTCTGTGGCCACTGTACCAATCCTGTAAGGTACACTGGCCACAAAAGTTAAGGTACAATGGACATATGCTATATTTCAAAATTCAAAGCATTTTAATAAAAAAAATTAATGTTACAGAATATCTACTCGATAATGCAAAAAAAAACATTAATACAAATTAAAACGTGATAAATCAACTGAAAACTGAAGGTTACGTTTAACTCTTGCCGTTCCACCCGTTGATACTGGAGCTGGTAATAACATAATTATATCACTTTCAGACACAACCGACTGATCAGCAACATCAGGAAAAGAAAACTTGTTCTGATTTCGCTTACGTAAAAAGTTAATCACATATTCGTTATGCAAAGAGTCAATTTGAATTACTTCGCCTGCACAAAATTTCACCTGTTTTTTTGTAGGAAACTTAACTAAAACAAATCCTCCAACTGTAATTTCAGTTGCTTCGTTTATATCTGTTGGATCTTCAGCAAAATCAACATCGTCAGAATCAGGAAGCGATAAATCTTCGTCACTAGACTCGCTGCTACTGCTTGGATGTTTATCAGAAGTTTTTGGGATTACGTTTTCCTTTTCAGAATATACAGGATAAATCTTCCTTCTAGTGTTTGTGTTCACCTTTACTAAAGATTGTCTTCGGTGTTCTTTCGCAATCTCCTGTTCTTGTATCTCTTTAAACACTGGAGTGCTGGTTAGTATTTCTGTGGTTTTTTTTTGCCTTTTTGATTTATTTGTGTTCACAATCTTTGCTTTGGGGTAAGGACGGAGAACTTCGGGACTTATAATTTGATGTGGCGGGGTCTTATTTTCAACATTTTCTGGATTGCCGTGATTTGGTGGTGCTTCTCGTGGTTGGTTGGTTTCCTGCGTCTGAGAGTTTTTCTGAGATGGTCCTGCTTCTTCCTCTTGATAATTTTCCCTTTCGCCAGTTATCCTTGACTCTGTTTCTTTTACCTCGTTGCTTGGCAAATCTGTCACTGTTGCAGCCAAAAAATCATCTTCAATAAAAACATTGCTGTTAAACGGCCAAATTCCTGTTACTTTAAAACCCGACACACAGTTGTTTGTTGAGAACGCAAGGTTATAAATTTGACCCAAAATTTCGGCGATGTCGTATATAGTGATGCGTTGACCTGGATGGTTCAGTAACCATGACTGGCAGGCGTTATTATAGTAGGATTTTAAAGGACCATAGACAGCCCTGTCTAGGGGCTGGAGCTTATGGCTGGTGTGAGGAGGCAGACTTAATAGCGTAATGTGATTCTCTTTGGCTATTTTTATACATTGGTACGAAACATGGCTAACGTGATTGTCCATTATGAGAAGTATTGGCATCTCTTTCGTTGGCTGGGTATAAGATATGAAATGCCGAAGCCACTGGATAAAAATCTCGGACGTCATCCAACCTGACGGTGATGCTACGCCAACACTTCCATTGGGAGCCCCTTTTAGCATGTGGTCCTTAAAAAACTTACGAGGAAACACAAGAAGGGGCGGAATACTGTTGCCATTAGAATTAATTGCACCACACATTGTAACAAGGGTTCCTCGTTCATTTGAAGTTATCTGACCCACTTGTCGCTGGCCTTTCATTGCTATTACTTTTCCCGCCTCTTGAACTGTGGTCAAGGCAGTTTCGTCAACGTTATAGATTCTGTCAGATCTAAAATTGTGTTTCTCAAGTACCTCCCTCAAATTTTCAAAAAATTTTTCAACAACAGGTCTATTAAAGCCCATTGCACGTCCCAATGAGGTTGCTTCAGCTTTTCGCACAGAAAGTGGATTTCTTTTAAGGAACTCGGTCATCCAGTACTTTCCGGCCATCTCGTTTTCATGCCAAGATTGAGGAATGCGTTTTTTGTTTGCTATGGCTAAGGAATACGCGAACCTTCTCACATCCTTTGGGGATAGCCCATGGTGTAATTTGGCGCACATTTGGAGATAGCGGCACAATTCGTCTTCCTCAGTAGAAGTAAATACCTTATTAATTTGATAATTAGGAGATAGTCCATGAGTGATCATGGTTACATCTTCAACATCTTCAAATTTTTTTTGATATCTTCTTAAGGTAGTTCTTGGTATATTATATCGTTTTGCAGCGGCTTTTGCGGAAAGGCCATGTTCCTTTATACTGAGAAGGGCAGCTCTCATAATTTCTGGAGCAATTTTCCCAATTCCCGTCTTTCCAGGCTTTGGTCGGGGCATATTTTTTCTAGCATAAGAAGAATATGTTTTGATAGGAACAATGGCCACCAATTTTTATTCGTAAAACCAGTGGCCACTGTTGCTGATACACAATGTGGCCACTGTATCAAAATTGCCTCGCAAAACAAATTGTGCAATAGCAAAACAAATAATTGTATCTCATCAATTTCCATATGGCTATACAAGTACTATGTATTAAGCTACAAGAGGGATTAAAATGTGGGCGAATTACTCACCAATTACTAAAATAAAGACTGACGAAATTCACATATAACGTTACTTTTGCACATCAAAAACACAAATGGTGAAAGCGTCTCTTCATGCGTTGTGCGATTGACATTTAGCTTCGTTGTAGAACACTACCCATCAGTGTGGCACTTTTAGTGCAGAGGGCGCAAGCATTAATAAGTTTATTAGAAATTAATTTTAAGTGGCCACTGTTCCTGCTATGGCCACTGTTGGCGGACGTCCCCTAGTGCCTTAAATCGCTGAGAACGTGTTGTGGCTTCACAGAATTAAACAAAAATGAATTGCTTTCCTATTATCCAATACCAAAGGTAGAGAGTATATTATTAGGATTAGGATTAAAGTACTTTTGAACATTGGATGCGAGTTCAGTGTTTTACCAAATCCAATTAGAAAAGAGGATTGGAATGAGGTGTACGAGAGAAGACCGACTGGTTCTTCGTAAAATGATACGACAGGGTAAAGAAATAGTAAATCGACTGAAACTGGCGATGTAGGTAAGTAGGGAAAGAATGGGGGTGCGCAGAATCCTCTTTGTCCTTGAGATTTCCTTATGGATGGGGATGCGCAGAATCCGACCTTATCCTCGTCTAGAAATGTGCGGGGGTGCGCAGAATCCTTTATAACCTTGCTTTCGAGCCTATGGGGTTTAATCGGATCCTCTGTAAACGTGCGGGGATTCAGAAAATCCTCTTTGGCCTTCGTTTTCAGTCTATGGGGTTTCAAAGGATCCTCTGTGACCTAGTTTAAACGTACGGGGATTCATTTGAGCCGCCCTGGATCTTATCTTAATGGATGGGGTCACACATGAGTCGTGTTGGCTTAGTTAGGTAAACGGATCCTCGATGACTTACGGGGGTTCATTAAGCCGTCCGTGATCTCACTTTAGCTGTAAACTCATAACGCAAAAAGAAACATTTTACTTAACTAATTATCAAGACGCAAAGAGCCTGAAAGATCTCATAAATTAATTGTATTTCGAACAAAAAAAAGTTCATAAATTTAATTCTAAGTAAATTCGATGGAAGTGTGAAATATGCATCTTGATGTTGATTTCTACTAGACACGATATTCGGCACATTTGAAATGAATTTGCGTAAAGGAATCTGCGCTTTACTTAAAATATCCTTGACTTCGTTAACTAACTGCCTAGCTCTAGCACATTCGGGAGAATGGGAACCCGAAATGTAATCATCAACATAAAAGTCCTCTAAAATGCTTTTTGCAGCTCACGGATATTTGGAAATGTTACACTAGGTTAAGTGTTGTAAACACTTTGTTGCTAAGTAAGATGAACTCTTGAGACCGTATGTGACCGTATTTAGCAGATATATCTTTATCTCTTCTGCTGGGTTGTTACGCCAAAGGATGGCTTGGTAAGCACGATCCTCTGGAACAACCAGAATTTGGCGGTACATTTTCTCGAATTATCGAGATTCAAAGAACCCGTGTTTCAGTATATTCAAAATACCCAATTTAGTTGAAATTGCTGTACATGGGTACCGATACTCTCCTGTATGAGATGACGTGATGATGCATAATAGAAAATCATACATTCTAGTTTTCGAAACTTCCGACATTGATCGTACCAAGACTAGTTTGGAAACCAATATTCAGTTTTCTTTCAACACCAGGATGGTGACTGTGATGGAAACATCAAGAAAGGGAATTTTACCGAATACGATACATCTTAATAGGTATAACTTTTAAGCAGCACTTTAGGATTAATTTCTCTTAATTTAAATAAAGCCTATTCGACCAGTTGCCCAAAAAATAAATAATCCAGGATTATTGTTTAATCCGGTATTGAGACATTTGATTGACTTTATACTGCAGTATGCAGCCAATCAAATGTCAAAATTCTTGTTTAAACTCAGATTTGGAAATAATTTTCTGCCATCGGCCGATTGAGTGGTTTGAATAATGAATATGTAGCCTGATCCATGCAAACTATTAATGTAGAATAACACCATAACATCCCCGAATGTTATGAATTTAGACGCTACTTTTTCTGATAATAAATACTATTTTATCCCCATCTGTCTAAATTAAGGTAAAACTGAGAACTTGTCTTGTGAGGCAGGCCGTTCGATTGTTGTAATTATGAAAGAGTTCACAGAGAAATCAAACCGGTTAGCAAATGTATAGATATTATAGGGATTGATACCTATGCATACGATAACGTGATGCGTGTTACCTGCATTATAGAAGCGTATCATCGCTAAAGCACTTATTCTATTCTTAGGGGCAAGTTCCAATTTATTATCATATCCAGGATTGGAACAAAACAAAACAAAATTATTTTAGGTAAGGGAATAACTAGAACGTCCAATATGCTGGTAGTCATGTGTAGGACTGTATAGGAAAAACAAAAACAAAATTAGGTATTTATTTAGATCTGAAAGAATAAATACAGATTGAAGCGTGACATTAAAGCGGTTAGCTACTTACATAAAATATCCAAAAAGTATTGTCTAGGTCACCTGGAACCACATATTTTTGTGCCTCCCTTCCTCCATTTTTATTGTTGAGGGGATTACCCACAAACCGCGAATTATTGCTACATTCTCCTATATTGTAGAAAATTAACAATATGGCAGGATTCATGTAAAGTACTTACTGATTTATAATTGGCGATAATTCGTTTGCGAAGTTCCCTTTCTATAAAAATATACGGTTAAAGATATATTTACCTCTTTTGTCTGCAAACAACTTCAATTTCTTGATCTGAAATTGCATCTATTAAATTTTGGATGAAATGGAAAAAAAATTGATTTTGCCTACCAGCCATGATGAAATACGCGTACTCAATGGGGCTAGTAGGCATAAGCGTTATCTAAAACTGCAAAAAATATATAATATATAAAATAGGTAGTCAACGCCAACGCCGCCGTTTTTCTAGTTCGCCGTGTAAATGTGGAGCCAGGTTAAGTAACTATTAAACTGTAAACTTAACATTTTCCTAATATACACATATTTCCGTTTCATCAGCTTTTATGCGAGAACGGAAAGAGAGACTAATATAGGTACCCGTTCGGTGTCGTTTTCTAGTATAATTATAATCATTAGAAAAACCTATAAACTAAAAATAGGACCCCTTTACGGGTACTTATACCTCCACTACACTTCTGTACTTTGAAGACGCAGAAGACTTTTCCGGCAATTATGTTAGAAAACTTCTATTTACTTCAAAAAGTCGCACTCTCCAGAGTTTGCCTCCAACAAAAGAAGCATTAAGGCAGCATTGTCTTCGCTAAACGTACCAGGCAGGACAAGTATGGGGCCGTGCGTGCTCAGTAATGGACAACATTCCAGAGCCAGAAGGATGGGGATGGACCATGGAGAGTGGACGCTGCCGGTCTGGTCTTCCCTGCCTTCTATTATGACTGCCTGCAGAGAATTAGTGAAATGTAGTTGTTCGACATGCCGGACACGTTGCTCCTGTTCAAAAAGTACATTATTTATATGTTATATATATATATATATATATAATGTAGTAGCTTGCTCATCATACGCGCGAACACTGACGGAGCATTGGATAATCCGAACGGAACGCGGTTATATTGATACTGCCCGTCTGGCGTTACGAATGCCGTGTATTGTTTTGACTGATTCTCAATAGGTATCTGATGATATCCTGACATCAGGTCTAATTAAGTGAACCAGCTTTTGGAGTGCAACAAGCTCAGCTGATCGTCGATTCGCGGCAGGGGATGGCGGTCCTTAATAGTGACGCTGTTAAGTTTTCTGTAATCGATGCACATGCGATCCTCCTCGTTCTTTTTCTTCACGAGCACTATGGGCGACGCATAGGGAGAATCGCATTCCTCGATGATGCCACTACCCAACAGATCGCTAATCATTTCCCGCAATTTTACTTTTTCACTCTCATTGAGTCGGTATGGGCGATACATAAAAGGGGTATCGTCTTGCAAACGAATTTTCATTTCGAAGGTGGTGGCCTTGCCCAACTCATTGAGATCGGCCGAAAAGCGGTATTCGGAAAGAATGGCTAAGAGCTGCTGCCTTTCTTCCGAGATCACGGGGTCTATATTAAGGTCTAAGGGCGACACCTTTGCTTGTTGCATCCGCTTTGTGTTCCAACGCAAGATTAGGATTTGAACGTAAAGTGCAGGGCACCGCACGCACCAATACCGCAGTTTTTTTAACGAGACGTCTCTATTCGATATATTTACAACGGGCACCAGTATTGGTTCGCCGAGTTTGACACTTAACACTACACGCGGCACAAAATGTTCGCGTCCGAACAGATTCCTAACACTACATCTGCCTACAAATTGAGAATTATATTGTTTTGTAGCCTGTGGCAACATAATGTATTTTTCTCTATCTATTTTACCATGTAAAAAGGCAGTTTTAACATCAAGTTGGCAAATTTTCCATTTATAAACGGAAACAAAAGCAAAAATCCATCTTATGACCACAGCAGCAGGGGTAGGTGAGGCCTTCTCTACTGCACTGTACACCTCATTATCCCTACAACCAATTGCTACAAGTCTTGCTTTAAATGTGCCATTTTCTTTTATACCAAAAATCTATTTTACAGGAACAACTTGCATTCCTTCTTCGCGCTTTACTACAGTTCAAACTTTGTGCTTTTCCATTGAATTTAACTCTTCCCTAATTGCTAACTCCCACTGTGTTTTATTCTCACCTTGCATTGCTTCAGAGTACGTCAATTGAGTCTCACAGAAGGAATGAATATATTTATCAAAATAAGAAAAAATTCTTACAGGTTAAAATTGCACAAGGATTAATTGTTTTATTTATGACCTCAGTGCTTGAGCCGCTCAAACTTGTAGTATTTATGGAATCATATAACTCTAAATTATTAAACAATAGCTTAGTTGAATCGTTTTTAGATGGATAATCATTTTTGTATAGTATTGATTCGTCAATTTTTACAGAACAACAATTTATTGTTTTCTTTGATTTTGGTTCATAAACCACACATCCAGTGTCTCGAAAACCTACTAGTTATGTAACTATGGAGCGAAGAGCCATTTTCTTACCTTTTGGAACTGTATCATCAAAAATATAAGTTCTCGAACCAAATATTTTTATATATTTCATATCAGGCTGCTTGTCTAAAGCTTTTTCGTAGAGTGTAATAAAGTTCAACGCCGAATGAGGAGTTATATTATACAGATATGTTGCACAATGTGTTGCAATTCCCCAAAAGGATTGTGGAAAACCCGCATTCAACAGTAAAGATCGGACACGTTCCTCTACTGTTTAAACGTTCAATTGTTCCATTATGCTCATGTGCGTAATGCCTCAGTTACATGCAGCCACTGCCGCTGCTACTCGCGCTGCCCACTTCCCTGCTCTGATTACTTCTGCGGCAGTATCGAGCATTCACATGCAGCCACTGCCACTGCTACTCACACTGCCCGCTTCCCTGTCTTGAACTTCCACCCACATTTAGCCCTCCACGCTCAGTGCACGTCTAATTTCTTCGGTCATAGAGAAAGAGGAAATTGTTGCAGCGACAGCGCTCTGTGTTTTAAGTTTGCAAAATTACACTAATATTTTAAAAATGAATGTGACAGAAAAAAGACGTCGACGCCGCAGAAGACGGTGGTGGATGACGGCGATTCATCGTAACAGAGCAGGCTGGCGGCAGCATGTAAACGGTCGCTCGGACTGTCGGAGTTTGCGCTGCCAGTCCTTTGACTTCCGCTCCAAATACCGCCAAGAAAGGGAGCGTACGGCAGTGGCAGCAGCAGCACGAGTGGCATGTTTACATACTCGCGCTGCTCACTTCCCTGCCCAATTCGCTGCTCACTGCCGCGGAAGTGAGCTGCATGTAAATGGAGTATAAGGTTCAGCGATCTGTGGTATTAGATTGTATTTAGCTAAAATAGTATGCATTTTTTACAATGGACCTTTCGCTTCTCTTCGGAGCTCATCTTCTGTTGTTTAAGAATTTCCTCCTTCGAATAAAGATCACTCCACAATATCTTCTTCTTGGGATCTATCTTCGTGGCATGCTTCTGGTTATTTTTTATGGGATTCACATTTTGAAGATTGCTAGACATACTAGGCCTAGTGTATACACTGGTACCGGAACGATCATTCTTGAACCTTTTTACTTTGTTTCTTGACCCATTAGATTCTGTTAATTTGCTTTTCCTGTATTGACTGTTATCTACATCAAGGAATTGACTTTTTACATATTCAAATTTCCGGAGATTTTCTGGTAGTGTTCTCATCATGTTGTAAAAAATAGAATATGGATTTCCTGCCATATATCGGTCATCTATTTTTGCAAGAAATCGAGCTATTAACAACTCTTCATCAAATATACAGTAGACTCGCGATAACGTGAACACAAAAAAAATTGTAGGTGTTCTAACAATCGAGATGTTCACATTACCGAAACTATAGATATCCGATTCAAATATACAAATAAAAGTTGATTAAGTGCATAGATTTATTAAAAAATAATTAAGTAATACAAAAAAAGTAAAAACAACACAAAAACACAAACTTGTACGTAATATGGTAAAATAAATGCATTATTATTAAAAAAAAAAAGTTAACAAAAAAGGTAGTACATACACTACATTGACTACATACTACTTAAAATAGGACGTAATTTTTGTTTGAATTTTATTTTGGGTTATATTTAACATTACAGCTTTTTCTTCTATTTTCTTTAGAGCTACCATGTCACTTACGTCAACAAGGTTTTGAATGGACCATTGTGAAACTGCTTTTAACGCTTCAAGAACCTCAACATGCGAAATTTTTTTTTCTTCTGTGCTAATCACTTCACAATCAGAATTTTCTGAATCAGCGCTATCTTCACTTTCCAAACCATCGTTATCAATAACGTCCTTATTCCATTCTTCAACATCTTGTTGCGTATACTCGGCCTAAAATGTGCAAAATGAAGTCTATGCTACGGAATGTTTACTATAAAAACGTACGGGTTCAATCGCTTCCAACAAACAAATAGTGTCATTATTCAGTTTTTCAGTTTCGTTAGTCCATGTTTTCCGCAGTGTAGCTAAGGGTATATTATCTTGGTCTTCATTTTTACCTAAAATAGGATTCCAACATTTTGTAATCATCAAAGGGTCCAACTTCCACCACGCCTTATGTAGATGAATAATTGCGTCCTTTAAAGTTATTGTTTTGAGTGCCTCTGCAACTCCTTCACCTTTAGACACTACAGAACTCAACAAGCTTTTTCTGTAGTACAACTTAGTAAGTCGCAACACATTTTGATCCATCGGTTGAATTAATGGTGTTACGTTTGGTGGCATAAACATAGTAAAAATTGCTCCATTAGGGGTTTTTAATTCATCTGCTGAAGGATGGGATGGAGCGTTATCTAATATGAGGACAGCTTTCACTGGCAACCCTGTGCTTTTTAAAAACGCTGTTACCTAAAAGAACAATGATTGTTACAATTTACGCGAAAAGGGTAAAAAAATAAATTTCTTTACCTCAGGGACAAACTGTTTGAAAAACCAATGTTTAAAGATATCTTGGGTCATCCATGCATTCTTGGTATTCTTGTACACGAATGGATTTTGGAAGTTCTTGAACGCCCTAGGTGATTTTGCTTTTCCAATTAAGAGATTTATGCGCTAGCATTTCCAACTCGCTGTTTCGCAATTTTCAGAGGGGCTGTCTTTTCATGTAGTGCAACATAAGTCTTATCCGGTAAAAGTTTCCAATATAATCCTGTTTCATCTGCATTGTAAATTTGATTTTCTGTTAAATCAAGCTCTTTAATAATCTTAGCTAATTCGTTTGTAAACGGATTTATTAGCTCGGGTTGAGAAGACAACTTCTCTCCTGCAATCTTGAGAAGTCTTATTCCATGACGCCATTTAAATTTTTGAAGCCACCCATCACTTGCGTTAAATGTTTCATTTTGTGAATTGAGCTGCTTATGTATAACTAGAGCCTTTTGTTTAATCATGTCACCTGTAACTGGCAAATTTCGTTCACGTTGTTTAACAAACCATTTATAAAGTAATCTTTCTAACTTCGGATTTTCTGCTTCTTTTAATGTACGTTTTTGAATTTTACCGGGTTTAATACTTTGATGTACAATTTTCAAAATTCTGTCTTCTTTATTTTTAATAGAACATATAGTAGATTTTGCTACGTGGTATTTTTTAGACAACGCCGTGACACACATGCCCTTTTTATGCTCTTCGATAATTTTGGCTTTTTCGTAAAGCGTTAAACACTTTTTCTTGCTTTTCACCATTTTAGAAAAAAACTTGAGCTAACCTCACTTGTAAACGTGTGCGGAGTAAAGTAACCACCATCAAAACGTCAAAGCGACTGGTTATGTGCAATTTTGATCATGTATTCTTGTTAGAAAATCTACCAATAATATATATGTAAGAAAATTCACACCACCGAGATTTTGGTGTTCATACTATAAAGCATATATATGGTAATATTGTTGTGTTCATGTTACTGAGTTGTTCATTAAAACGCATGTTCACGTTATCGCGAGTCTACTGTAGTACCAAACTCTATAATTCCTCTATTCTATTTTCAAATTCGGTCACAAACTGTAACGGATTAAAGTGGCTTCGAAAATGCAGTTTGTTGTATTTTTCTTCTAATAACACGAGTTCTTGAAGCTTCTTCCCCGAATACATGGAAAGTAGTTGCTTATATGCACTGAATGCTGTTTTTTTCGTAAAATTGCGTTTGCAATTTCTGTCGATACCGTGGAACGCAAATATTGTAATGCTTGTGCATCATGTAACATACGACGTTCATGTGACAAATTTTTCATTTCTCCATATTCTTGCTTGGCGGGAGTAACTATGACTCTCTTTGGCGATTCTGAGCGGTAACGTGAGGAAATTGAACCAGAAAACTTACGTGAAAGTCCTCCTATCGTAGTGGTGCACACGATTAGGGTGGTTCGAGTCATAGTTTCGAGCAGCTACCTCCGCGTGGTTCCCGCCGGTAACCTTCCTCCTTGTGTGGAAGGGCTCAGTGCTGCGCAAGGACTTACGTTCTAGGCAAAAGGGCCTAAAGAAAGAGAAAGCGTGACGAGCAGATTTTTCCCAAAGTACTAACGGCCAGGTGGAAACCACTGGTCCCGTCACGTACTTGCCGTCACTGCTATGGGTGTTACGTGTGAGTGCGGGAAGACCTTCGAGACCCGAGCCGGACAAGTGCAGCATGTACGCCGAGGCTATTGCCACGGCCCCGCCGCATCGCCCGATCGGTCGTGTCCCGTATGTCGGAGGGAGTTCGGCACGTACGCAGGTACGCGTCAGCACTTTAGACGTGCTCACCCGAAACAGGACAACCAGGAATTAGAGCTACAGGTTGCACAACCAGCCCAGCACGTGACCAGTCTAGATGGACGGATGAGGAGCTCACGATTATGGCTCGGGAGGAAGCTAGCTTCACTGGACGCTTTATAAACGTTCACCTAGCTCAGCTCTTGCCCGGTCGTACCAAAGAGGCCATAAAGAGCCGGCGACTTATGGACGACGTTCGTGCCATGGTCGCTGATTTCCGGACGAGGGAGAGACTGGTAGAGGAGGTCGGAAACGGCCAGGTTGTTCCGGAGCGGCAACCCACTGCGGGAACCTCGACGTCCTCGCACAAGGGAACACCGTCACCGGCGAGTAGAGGTATTAGGAAGCCGGCGGTTAGGGGCACACCCAGTACCCCAGTCTCAACGAGATCTGGGGTCGGGAGAGGTAGGACATACCCACCCGGGGCCGACCCTATTGGCCAAGTAGCAGCAGGCTAGCCTGCTTCGAAAGGCCATAAAAAGGGCGGTAGCGCCGGGGCCAGAGGTGTCTCGGGTCGACCTGCCCGGGCCCTCTAGGAGACCATCGTACGCGCAGGTATGCGCGTCTGGTACTTCCTCCTCGGCTACCTCCTCTTCGGAGGAGGATAGTCCGAAGGAGGAATACTCTCTAGTACCAATTGTCCGCCCCGAACGCCTCCCGGAGACCTTAGGCTCGAAGGTCTCCACAACATCTAGCCCTGACACCGCCGGCGAATCCGACGACCTCGAAAGCTGTGTGGTGGAAATCCCAGCCGCCGCTACACCTGGCCGTGAAAGACCAATTCTATCTGGCGATCCCGTAGTCCGGTTCGTCAGCGACATGGAACAGACCTTCGATGGCTGGACAGACGCCGATAGGCGTCTGTTCCGGATCATCCACGACGTCACCAGCGCCAATAAGGAGCCGCTCAGAGTGGCCTTGGAGGAATGGCTTGGTAATCTGAGTGTCGGAGCAGGTACACGGCCAAAGAGAACCGGCGGCAAAGTCCTTGACGATGGTAAAGTCGGCCGCTCGCAGCAGTGGGGTAAGAGAATGGTTGCGGAGCACAAACTCTGTCAGAAGCTTTACGCCAAAGACAGAAGCAGATTCGCCAGCTGCGTTATAGAAGGAAAACCAATAGACCATTCTCCCCAACATCCCCCTATATCAGATGTTGAAAGGTACTGCAAGGGGATTTTCGAATCTCCTTCGCCACCTGACAACGAGGATATAGGCGACTTCAAGGACAGCGACGCAGGGGATTGGAGGCCGATAACCTGCGAAGACATAGAGTGGGCGTTGAAGACCACAACATCCGCGGCCCCGGGCCCGGATGGCGTTAAGATCCATAAGCTACGCGAAATCCCGAGACCCAGATTGTGTCTCTTCCTAAACTCCGTCTTGGTTCACGGTAGCTGGCCTGGCTCGGTCCTGGGAAGTCGGACCATTCTTATTCCGAAGGGAGAAGATACCAGCGTGTCCAACTGGCGACCCATCACCATCGGCTGCAGTATTGTGCGCTTATGCCATAAGATCTTAGCCAGAAGGCTGACCGAATTACTACTTCACCCCCACCAGCGTGGGTTCCGCTGCGTGGACGGAGTGCTACTTAACACCTTGACTCTCGAAGCCCTCATAGAGCAGAGGAGGAAGGCATGCAACCCGTACAGTCTGCTGAGCCTCGATTTGGCGAAAGCTCTCGATACGGTTTCGCACAATTCGATCGAGCGAGCACTCCGACGCTTTCGGGTGGACGCCAGGTTGAGGAGTTTCCTGATGGAGGGTTACCGATCTGCGAGTACCCGGATCCAACTGGACTCCGGGGAAACCGGAAAGATTGACCTCCTTAGGGGAGTCAAGCAAGGTGACCCTCTGTCGCCGATCCTCTTCAATCTGGTGCTAGACGAGCTTGTGGTAAAGCTGGAAAGCCTTCAATTAGGGCTAAGACTAAACGACCATCTGCAGGTCTCCTGCTTGGCATATGCAGACGATGTGGTGATCGTCAGCGACACGTTTGGAAAGTGCCAAACCCTACTCCGGACCATCACCGATTTCTGCGAGCGTCGAGGGCTCAGCCTTAATCCAACCAAGAGCGTCGCTCTTGTGGTGCGCGTGGTGCCTGGCAAGAAGATCTTGTTCTCCTCGACTAGTTCACGCTTCTTCGTGAAAGGGGTCCCTTTGCGGTCCCTGGAAGCGAGGGAGCTGTTCAAGTACTTGGGGGGCAAGTATATATTCTGCCGAAGGCAGGGCTGGCCCAGACAGCGCCTCGTGGAGAGAGGGATTGATCCGGATAGGGAAGGCCAGACTCAAACCAGCTCAGAAGTTGGTTCTTATTAAGACCTATCTGATCCCTAGGATGTTGAATGGACTGACGTGTACCAAAGTAGGGAAGGGCATGTTGAAGAGTGCGGACCGCCTCGTGCGTGTCGCCGTCCGACGCGCCTTACACCTTCCCCGTTCCTGTGCGGATGGCTTCATCCATGCTCCCGTTCGCCTCGGAGGGCTTGGGGTACCCTCCTTCGTCACACTAGTGCCGGGGTCACTACACAGACGTCTCGCAAAGATGCGAGCTACCGCCGACCCAATAACCGCAGGAGTCCTGGAGATGCCTTACTGTAAAAAGTTTGTGCGGAAACTGGACTCCTGGGTCAATACCGCTTTCGGCACGACGAAGCTTCAAGCGAGGAATGAATGGGGCAACAGGTTGGAGTCATCGTACTCAGGCGGGGGGTTGAGGCAGGGGCACGACTCAGGTCATAACGGGCATTGGATCGACCGCCCTCCAATCTTCTGGAGCGGAAGGGAGTACATCTCGGCCGTCCAATTGCGAGGGAACCTTCTTCCCACAAGGGGAATACCATCTAACCCACAACCCGAAAGACGATGTCGAGCGGGCTGCAGCAGGGTAGAATCGCTGTCCCACGTTCTACAACGCTGCCCCGCTACTCATTGGCCGAGGATCCGGAGGCATGACCGGGTCTGCGCTCGTATTAGGAAACTATGCGAGCGCAAGGGTTGGTCGGTGGAGGAGGAGCCACATTTGCGATTGTCAAATGGTGTACTGAGGAAGCCTGATCTCCTTATTTCAAAGGCTAACGAAGTCATCATTTGCGATGTGGCTATCCCATGGGAGTCACCCCGGCCGCTGGATGCCGCGTTTCAGGATAAAATATCCTATTATTCTGAGCCTCTCACTCGCGCTGCCCTGGAACGTTTATATCCGGGCAGAAATCTAACGTTCACTACCTTAGTGGTGGGCGCGAGGGGCACGTGGTGCATCCAGAATGACTGGGTTT